CATCCTGACTCCTGAGGCTCCTCTGCCTCCTCCAGCGCTCCCTCTTGAAACACTTGTCTTTATCGTGCCTTTTCTCGCCGTTTCACTGCTCCTGCTTATAGGACAGCATGCACTAGCGGTGCCGAATTCCCAGAGTGAATTCCCAGGCACACAGAGGAATGCCCGCCCCGCCCCGCCGCAAACACCCGTCATCTATCCCGGCCACCCGCTGTGCAGTGTGAACAGATCGACGCCCGCAAGGCCACCAAGACCACACCATAATGTCAGCAGGTCGTCCATGGGAAATGAGCACTGCGATCCGTGCAAGCAGCCCTGCACTGTGATGCACCGCAATATCCATCGAATCTGCCTCTTCATCTAAGTCAGATTACTCCATCATCATCCATTTTCCGCGCCCATCGAACCATATTGACTCCGATATCCGACACTCTTTCCTCTTGACAACTCTTGACAACTCTTGACTCGGAGGGAAAATGTCAGACCATGCCCCTGTTGATTGGCTGCTTAATCGATTTCTTTCGGCTGATTGAATTCGGAGATTCAATTTGTTCGGAACCCGTGTAACATGAAACTTCGACACACCTACGCCCATGTCGTAACTTGTACCCTCCTGGAAAATGCGAAAAGATAATGGAAAAGTCGACACTTCTGGAAAAAATGTTCACATCATCAAGAGGCGGCATCTCCTGATGCCTTTTAAGTCGCAGTCAAACCTAACTTCATCTCCTTGTGTCGCCACTCACAGACCCAACCCTCCGTATCTCTATCTCATTTCAAAGTCAATGTAATCCCGTACCTTGTAGCTGATACGTGGTTCGCACAGCCCAACTATCCGCGCCGCCTCTTCGTGCTCCAAGTCCCTACCGACGGCATAAACGTCTTTGTACGCTTCTGGAGCTTCTTCGTAGACAAGATCTTTCTCGTCGCAGATTACCCATGTTCCGCCTCGTGAGCTTCGTTCTAGCAACGCCGACGATTTCTTGTATTTGGCACTGAGCGAGGAGAGGGCCTTATTCCGGGACATGCTTCGCCCCGATCCATGGGCCAAAGAAAGTGCGTTATTACGGCCCCAGTTTGTGTGTCCCGAAAAAGTGGGCTTCAACATCAACGTTGGGGTACCTCGCGATCCTGGCAGGGGAAGAATGCTCAACGGCACATCTGTGTGTGCATCCCAAGTCGGTGCCGCTCCCTTGCGATGGATATAGACGTAATTTTGTTTGGTCTCGTCATCATCTTTCCCGTACATTGCAATAGTCGGTATATCTGCGACTTCCTCTACCATCGGTTGTGCCGGGGCCGACTGTGCCTGCGATGAAGGCGGCCACTTTACCCGCTCCACATTGTTATGCGAGATATCAACTACCCTTCGCTCCCGAATCATAGCCTTGGTTTGCGAGATAATACTAGAATCAATAGTTGCACCATTTGTTGGTGCGTTTCGTCCTGACTGCCATGCCTCTTCGCCTGGTTCAAGGCAAGCTAAGAAACGAACTGCGATCAAATCCCGATTAGCCTTGGCCCAACGAATAGCCTGGTCATGTTCCGCCATGTACAGCCTCATACTCTCATTGCCTTCTTTCAAACTAACGTGCGATCCTGCTGTGTACTTCTTGAGAATGTCCGCTCCGTAGCCTCTTGATCCAGAATGTACCAAGAGAATTACATCGTCCGGGCGGAGACCGATCTTTTCTTGCTCGGCAAGCTCAATAGACTCGACAACCTGTATTTCCGCGAAGTGGTTTCCTCTGCCAATAGTTCCAACAGATGCATCCCACTCCTTTCCTGCCGAGCAGTTTCCACTCTTATCTTGTAGCCAGTTTTCGCGATCTACTGACGTCCGCCATGGCCCTTCCAGACCTTGCAATTTCTCAGCTATCCTCTTGCCTCTCTCGCCCTCGACTTGGTGACGTGACAATTTGGTTTTGTACCATGCCATTCCACAGCCAATATCACTCCCTATAAGAGGAGGGTGTATCCAGTTCTGCGACACAAAGACAGCGCCCACTGGGTATTTTGTCCCTGGACACAGATCGGGTTGGCCGGTCGCCAGTACCATTCCTGGTAGCTCCTGCGCGGTAGATTTGAGTTGTGCGATTGCAAGTTCATCAACAGGTGCGTCTTGCGCAAGCACATAGACTGGACAGTCAGGGTTTGCGTCTGGATTATTTTCTTTGCGTAGTCCGATGTACTCCTCTCCTGCAGATACTAAGAAGATTACATCGTCTTTCAGCGTGTCCCTCCAGTCTTGTTCTGCCAAGAGCTCAGTGCCCAGACTTGCGACGAAGATACGTTTTGGTTTCTTGAGACGCAGTTTTGATCGCGCGGTGTTGAAGACGAGGGTATGAATCGAATTGAGCGCGGATGGGTCTAACGACGCAGATGCAGGAACGAGAAGCGGAGTCTTTTGAGTTCGATTCGCATTGAGTGCGACAGTGATTCGTGTAGCTGGCATCTTGGTCTACAGTAGACTATTGTCGTGGAATATTCGAAGCGTGAGGAGAGTGGTGGTGAATCAGGAATCCGAAACAGTACAAAGTAGGCAAATCGTTTGCGCCGTCGCAAGCAAGGAATCGTCTCTTTTCTTCTCGCATTCCCGAAGACTGCCTACCCATTTTTATACTCGGTTTGTCGTTTTTGGAAACTTGAGTGCTGGTGGCAGCCTGCGAATGGCTCAGGGTGACTCATTTCGACCAAGAACTGAACATCATACACAATCGGCACCTTTATCCTTTTCTGTCTCTTTCAATGAACCAACTCATATCCATGGATTTTGCATCTTTTTTTTTCTCATTTTGTCCATGACGTTTTTCCAAATGCCAGAGTTGGCAAATTTTCCCTCGTTCCTGTATTAGCTAGCTAGCTGATTAGTGCGTGGGTAGACAGGCAAACAAGCTATACAAACATCAACAACCCTCACCATCTCCACACGAAAAGACAAAATGGCATAGCACTTCCGGATGCGGCCCTGGCGAATCTTTATTACAGATCCAAAGGGACACGCGGCATGCCGAGCTGGGCCAGGCGTTTGGGACAACATGCGCGCGTTGCACAAGACTTTACTCGCGCAAATGTGCTCATTGGGGTAGTGAGGTCTAGGCTGTGTGGCTTTGGTCTTACGAGGAGGTGCTGAGGGGTAATTATGATCGTAATGTGGGGATTTGATTGATTGATGGAGGAAATACTTGGATGATTATTGAGTTGGCTGGTAAGGTTTGATGGGGGGTTGTGGGAATAGGTGGAGATTGGGGACTGTTTACGGAATTGTTCGTGTAGGTTGAAACTACGTACTTGGTTGTTCGTTCATGCACGCACGCATGCACTAGGTTTCTTAGTTCAAGGGAAAAGTGCGAATACAATATCGAACGTGGTTTCTTTTCTGTGTTCTAGATCTGGTCAGTTCCCAACTTCTTTTCTTCCAAGGTAGGACGCTTCAGCTCCATCTCCATCTTCATCATGGGTGTAATCCCGCAAACACCTTATCCGCCGCTGTGGCGGTGGTGGATCGGTCAGAGAGTATCATTGTACACACCTGGAATCGATTGTGTATCTTGTATTCTTGAGTGGAATATTCTGAAGTTTTGGTTAGGTGCATTATCGTGTTTGTGCTTGAATTGGCGCTTTTTAACATGTGTTCGAATTCTGCAACTTTGGTCCGTGGCGGGATAGTTCTGAATGGCGGATTGTGACATCGGGGGAGAGATTGGGTTCGTTGGGTGTCAAATAGGAATAATGATGCTTTGTGGAATGGAATGGTTCCTCACCGATACTTCCCCAATATCTAGGATTCCAGGTTTCATTGATTGCAATGATTCGACAGTGTTGATTGGGCTTGGAAACATATTAGTCGGGGAGTTACTTCACGTTCATGTAGTTCATCAGTCGACCATTGTGAGTCCCGGAATTTTCAATGGGGGAGTATCCTTCTTTTTCAGTCCGGCCGGTGCATAAACCACGGTGTGAGAAGTACACTGCACAGATTGTGCTATGATATTACATGTAGTGTCTAAACCGAGAAGAATATATCATCAGTGTCATGATCCTGTTGTCCGCATTTTGATTTTCATATATTTTCATTGGTTTTTTATGTGATGTTCCACTCCGATTCGTAGAACCGAAACACGAAGAGTACCATGTTTGGGAATCGTACGATGGAAGGGATATACAAAAGATACCTGGATAGAGCAAGCGTTTTAGAGGAAATATAATCTGAATTCAATGGAAATTTGCGAAGATCAGGCCAGATTGATGATGTAGATCTGTCACCCCTGAGTGCACCAGCTCTGGTTGGATTTTTGCGTATGCGAATATGGAGAGTGTTATCGAGTGTGAAAATCAAAAATATCCAGTCAAAATAAGTGTATGGGTAGTTCAATGTGCAAGAAAACAATTAGCGTCATATTTTTCTACTCATCGATCTGTGCTTGTTGTATGTAGCTTGAATGAATGTCCTTGCAATTGGATAAACCCGTAATCGCAACTCAAACTGTAGAAAATTCCCAAGAGAATACCTCTAGAAACGCTGCAGCCAAATCAACCGAAGTCCGAAGATTCAAATACTGAAGATACAAATTCTCCAATCCCTAATCCGTGATAGTCGTCATGCTAGCCGTCTGTTCCGTCGTCCCTCGCCACCCGATCTCGCCTTGACGGGAGCTTCGAGATCAGGAATAAGTCCAACATGAACGTTGCGAAAAGACTGTTTTCATACAGAATCTGAACACTTTCCAACTATCTTGCCAACAAACCTATACTTGAACTCTCTATTTCATCCTCCCTTCAGTTCACTCTCCAATCCCACTAACCCCACCCGTCTCATCTCATCCGCACCAGCCATTCCCATTTCCTCTCGCCAAGCCCTCTACCCCTCTCCCGCCCACGCCACCAAAACCCCACCTAAAAACAATCCCTTTCCCTCCAATTTTCTTCCTCACCTTCAATCTCATGTCATTTGCTCATGATCACAACGTGCTAAGAAAACTGAACCCCTATATTCACATCTCGGTGAGGTGGCCGAGTGGTTAAGGCGCTGTGTTTAGGTCTCGTTCTGTATAAGAAAAACCTGAATCCCCGCAGTGGGAAACCGCGTGGGTTCGAATCCCACCCTCATCAACATTTTCTTTTTGTTATTACGATGCTATCATCGTCGTGATTTTTTTTTTCGCGTTGTTGAGGTAGAAGGGCACGTGATGAGATTAGTGGGTTGGGATGAGATCGGATGGAAAGAGTGGGCCGGGCTAGTCGGATGCGGGAGGGTGCGTGTGGGAGGGACCCGGGGGGGAGGGAGGAGGTTGGGATAAGGTGTGGGAAGGTACGGGTAGGAGTTTATGGGGAAGGAGGGAAGTGTCGATCGGATGAAAAAATCTTGGATTCTTGGGGCTGTGATGAGTGTTGAATGCGGTTTGGGGGAGTGACAAATAAAGCAGAATGAGCTGTGTGGACTTCGCACTATTGCAATCTCGATTCTAGCATCTGTATCTCGGACGCAGTTCTTTTGGCCGCTGCGGAATCTGAATTTATTTCATAGGAGCAAAGCAGATACCTTGGGATTTGGGGTGCTGATTCAATAGACGGGTACTTGAAGAATTCGTCGAGTTTCTTCTGGGTTCCTACGTTCGCACCTGCGCTTGCACGTTTGCTTGGGCAGCAACGAGTAACGACCAGACCAGAACAACATTTCTCTCAGCTCCAACACCAATCTTCACCCATTCATATAAATCATCCTTCAAAAGCAAAACCAAACAATCCATCTATCCAATCCTCTCCAACAACACCATACGTACAACAACACAAATTTCTCTTCTCTCCCGCAACCCCACCATGACCACAATGTCCACCCAGCAACATCAAGAACAAAACGACCTCCTCCTCTCCCTCCAGACCTCTCTCCGCAACGCTCTCAACACCCTCGGCCCCACAAGTCCCCAATACCTCGACATCAAAGCCATGGTCGAAGAGCAAGTACTCAAAACGGCACGGTTGCGCGCGGAGGAAGAGAGGATGCAGAGGAACGCGGGGGGATTGGATTCTGGGGGGAATGGGAATGGAAGTGAGAGTGGGAGTGTGGTGGGGATGGTGATGAATCTTGCGTTGAGACCGCGGGGTGGGGGATGAGGAGAATGGGGTATGGGATGTAGTGGGTTGGCGTAAAGGAGAAGGAAAAAGGATGGTGTGATATATATTTAAGAATCACTCAATCAATTAATCAATCAATCAGAATGGTGCATGCATGGATATCAATGTGGTGGTATTTCCTCTCTTATCTCACACATCTTGCCTTTACTCTCCTCTCCTCTCCGCACAAGAAGCCTATTTAAAGAAGGTCCTTCTTGTCAAGAACCTTCTATCTCACCGACCCAATACACTTTATACATTCCTCCATCTCTTCATCCCCCACAAACCACCCAAATACAACGAACGTATCATTTCAGAGCACGTCATAAAGAAAACAAAACTTCCGCCCACCTAGCCCCGCACATTCTCCATCCCATCCATTCCGTCCCAAAACGAAGCAGGGACGAGTACAGAAGAAAAAAAACTCCAGTGAAAATGCCTGGAGAAGAATCCCTTGTTCCACCTGCAGACAAAAAGAACGGCAAAGGCAAGGCAAAGGCAATCAAGCGACACTCCGGGCTCCCAAAGCTCCAGTGCTGTGAATGATGTATCCAGAAGTGTGCATGTGATATAAGCGTAACCGTGGATCCCATGCTTGCCTGATAGTTAACGCCGCAAACGCCGAGAATGATGATGATGGTGGTGGTGGTAATCTCTTCTTTCTTTCGACCGTCGGGAAAAGTTGTCTGCCGGTTTGTCTTGTAATCGTGATTGGACGTTCGAGCAGAATTGACAGTTTATGGTCCGACATTGCAGAATCCCGTTTGTGTGTGTAGGCAAGACATTGCTTCAATATACAACATTAGGCCCGCCTCTTGAAAACTAGTAGAACCATCATACGTGGTTGCCTCATTCAATAAGTGGTTTTCTTACGCCCCCGACCATGGCTATGCCGAGTGCTCTTAATCCGTTCTCGTCGTTTGCTCGGACGATATGGCTCGCGGGGAGCATTGGATTATCCTGACTAACGTGCGCAGCGTCCTTAGCGGCTTGCTCAATGGCCTCCATTTCTTCTTTGCACCCTGCGTGGTCGAACGGGCAAACGACGATCGGCTGTCGAAGAAGGATGTCTTTTGCGTTTGACATGTTTGCCTAGAAAACGTCAATCCTGCATTCAGTTCATAATCCATGGTCCACATACCTTGACTGTGAGATAATACTCAATCTTATAGAGCGTGCCTGTAGTTGTGAAACCACTAACGGCATACATAGGGTACTCCTTCCTTCCCCGCGGTACAACGCCATCTGAGTCTCTCAAGTCTTTTGCTGGAAAAACCAGTCCCAGGTTCGTAAAGTAGCCTGCTTCGGGCATCTTGACGCCAACAGTCTGTGTGGTCTTGGCCAGAGTCTTCACTTTCCGCGATGGTTCATCCCCTTCATGATTGAATATTATCTCCTCGTCTATTCCAACTGTAATTTGCTTTATGGTGACCCTCTTCGCTTTGGATAACCAATCTGGGTTCGGACTAAGTTTAATGTACACTGACACAGGATCGAGGGGGCCATAACTCCAGCGTGGCAGGCTTATCCCCAATGTCACCAGATGGTCTGTGACTCGTTCGGCGCTTTCTGGTCGGTTATACATGCCGAATGTGGACAATGTATCGTATCGTGATATCGGCACTGGGAACGGGTACTTCTTCTGATCCGTGTGCCCTTGCTGGACCGTGACCACCAATTCATAAAATGTTTCTGCGGTCCGACTCGGCAATTGCAGACTCGCGGGCGGGACTCTTCTTGCCAGCTCTTCTCCTCCGCGACCGTAGGGTATGAATATCACAAAGGGCAGGTCCATTGACAGCACGCTATCGTATTCCTTCCCTGCCGTACATCGGAACAATAGCATCTCCTTGCCCACTATATCAGCAAAGTCCTTGCGGGGGGCAGCCAGGTGCTTCTTCGTGACGGAGTCGGCGGCGGGATGGATGGATTCGCGGCGATGCAGTGCGATGGTGACGAGGGAGACGGTTACGGGCGCGGATACTCCTACCAAGGGCCGGATTTCCACCTTGCCTTCTATGCGTGGCTAGAGAGAGGTTAGAACGGAATATCGTGGCTAAACAGGAAAGAGCCTGTCATATCATCGCATCTTATGTTGCGACTACCTAGGTGGGAAGTCGCAAGGCATGAACGATATAATCCCCCCCTATATTGAGCCCAACAAGAGACAAACGTACCAATGTCGCTGATATGCCTGGATATCCTACCAGGAAGTTGCTGTTTGGCGGTCCTGAGACGCGCACAAAGGCCGACATGGTATCTCAAGATGACGAGTGCGTCGGCGCTGGCCTGTACTGGCGAGATAGAGCCGCATGGGCGACGGCGAGACTTCCTCCTCTGCGTGGGCCCGCCCAAAATCGCGCTCGAGAGGCTCCAGCTTGTGATGCCGGGCAAGCTGGCCGTCGAGTTGGAGCGTAGCCTTCCGGTAGCGGGACGGAGGGGTTGGATTGCGCAGAGGCAGGCGTGGGATTGCGGTAACTGGCCTGGCCGTTCAACGGGGCGGGGCACTGGTGACGGTAGCGGCGGCGAGCGGTCGCACGGAGGTACGGGAGAGAGTCTGTGGATAGTAGCTCTGGGGAATATTGTAGGAGAGAGGGTGGTAGCAGTAGGCCGCGGATGCGGAGGGAGAGCGGTGCGGAGAGGGACGAGGTGTACAGTGTGTGCAGTGTGCAGTGTGCAGTGTGCTGGATGCAGTGTGGTAGGGCTGGCGGTTGCTTGCCCAGGTGTCGGCGGGCGGGACTAAGCTGGGGGATAGGCTGACGAGGAACGAGCGCCCTCCAGGGCTGTTGTTGAGTGTCGAGCCTCCACCCGGAGAGGTGCGAGATGCAAGAAGGATGCTGCGCGCGCACAGCACGTTTCGTCTGGTGTCGGCCTGGTGTGCAACTGCGGATGCAAGGCTGCGAGGTGAGGCGTGGAAGGGTGCGGAGCGGCGATATAGGGATGATTGCCAGCGACAATGGACCTGTGGTAGCCTGACAGTGGGTGAGTGACTCTGGCAGTGCGGGAGAGCAGCAGGCCGTGTCTGGACTCTAGGTGGGCTATGGAAGCTGGAAGAATGAAGATAGGCCTGGCGGACGAGGAGCGAACAGCCGGAGTGCCAGAGGAAGCAGTCGGAGCAGAGGGCAATGCACAATGCGCAACGCTGTCAGGAAGCGTTAGCTATACCTGGATAATAGTGGTGGGAGGTGGTGGGAGGTGGTCCTGGGGGACGTCTTCGTTGGCCCGCTTCGGGCTAATTGGCTTGTCTGTTTGGGGGGCGTGTGAAGAAGCTGAGAGACCAAAGCCACCACCATCATCTCTCCGCGCATCGAGCCCTCGAACATGGTCAACCATCTGCATTACCCGCGCCTCCAGCATGTCCGTAACTGTGAGTCTCCATGCTTCCCTTGCTGGCCCCCTTGACTGCCCCCTCGAGCCTTTTGAGTCTTTTTGAAGCCAACCAAACCGGACCACCGCCAGTCCACGTTGCGCTTCGCAACTCGCAAATCTCCGAACCTAGGCCTCCCAAGCAGACCACCCCAAGGGCCTAAATCAACCATTCCGGGGTCGTGAACGCGGCTTCTGACTGCATATGCCTGCGCCTCGGCTTTTCACCCTCAGCTCCAGCTCCAGCTCCAGCTCCAGCTCCAGCGTCGCATCATCCCCCCGCAAAGAACTAACAAACGCGGCAGTTGCACACCTCCAAAGGTGACCTCAAGCTCGAGCTCTTCTGTGAAGCTGTCCCCAAGACGACCGAAAACTTCCTCGCTCTCTGCGCCTCCAGCTTCTACAATGCATCTCCCTTCCATCGCCTGATTCCCAACTTCATAGCCCAGGCTGGAAGTCCTGCATCCGATCCAAAGTCCAAGACTTCTACCTCTATATACGATTCCCCGAATCAGCTCTTCGAAGACGAGATCCGTCCAGCCTTGCGACATAATGCTCGTGGCATCGTGAGCATGGCGAATAAAGGCCCCGATTCGAATGGATCCCAGTTTTTTGTCACTTTTGCACCCGCC